ATTCTCTTTGTATGTATAGAAAACAGTAACCGCTCACAAATGAGCCAGGCCTTTGCTTCCATGCTGGGTGGTGACCAGGTAGAAGCGTTTAGCTCCGGTTCACGACCATCAGGTAAGATCAACCCAAAAGCCATTGCCGCCATGAAGGAATTGGGTTATGACCTTACCACGCATCATTCCAAGTCGCTCGAGGAAGTAAAGGCCTACGCACCTTTCGATGCAGTGGTGACAATGGGTTGTGGCGATGCCTGTCCCTGGATGCCGGCCACACGTTTTATTGATTGGCAAATTCCAGACCCGCGTGATATGGACGAAAATGAATTCCGTAAGGTAAGAGACATGATCAGGGATAAAGTAAAGGACATGTTGTCTTCCTTACAATAAAAGGTAGTTTCTTTGCTCAAAGTTTTACCTGTTGAATACGCCGTTTCTTTCGCGCAATACTTACATTTTTCTTTTCTCCCTGCTGGGCCTGGTTTACATCATCGGTTTATTCGTCCCGCTGATGGATAACGATTCCGCCCACCACGCAAGCATTGCTTTGCATATGTACCTCACCGGCGACTACGCCAGCCTTGTCGACCAGTCAGGTGACTATCTCGATAAACCTCATTTACTTTTCTGGCTTTGTGCTTTTAGCTACAAAATTTTTGGTGTAAATGCCTTTGCTTATAAGTTGCCTTCCTTTCTTTTTACTATTGCCGGAGTCTTTTCAACCTACCGGCTAGGCACTTCATTGTATAATAAGGAAACGGGTCGCCTGTCCGCGCTCATCATTGCATCAGCATTTGCTTTTATGCTGGCCAATACAGACGTAAGAATGGATGCCATCCTTACTGCTTCGATTACATTTGCCACCTGGCAACTCATACGATTCATTCAATCCGGGAAAACGATTTATATATTCGGGGCCGCTCTTGGACTCGCCGCAGGATTCTCTACCAAAGGTCATATTGCGGTATTTGTACCCGCTATTTCCACATTTTTTTATATTATCTACTTAAAAAAATGGAAGTCGTTTCTCGATATAAAATGGTTGTTGCTTCTGGTCGTCTTTGGTCTACTCATCAGTCCCGTTGTCTACAGCTACTACCTTCAATATAACCTGCATCCCGAAAAAGTCGTAAGGGGTAAAGATCATATCAATGGAGTAAAATTCATTCTCCTGAATCAAAGTGTCGAACGGTTTAGTGGTGAAATGGGCAGTGATGCCAGTAATGACTACTTA